GCTCTCTTCTGCATCGCCATACGAATACTCAAAGTCTGAAAGAATTTACTGCTTTTTGATTTTCCTATGAAGTTTCTAATTATTTAGTTAGAACCATTTACTTTGGTATTTATGTGTTTAAGAAGGTCAAAAGTAAGAAAAACTGCGGCTTTTTCCAAGAATCCGACTCAATGAAAACATAAAAGTATCACTAAAAAGAAGTTCTTGTATTTAGCGGCTAAAATTAAAAAAGAAAACGAAGAAATCGGCGCAATAATTTCCTATCTTTGAATTTCAAATAGCGATAAGCATGAGCTACTAATAATGGTGATATTTTTATGCGGTATTTTTCACCTACTTATCTTATCAAACTTAAAATATATACACACAATATGTATTCAATAGATTGCCACTACACAAGGTAATATGGATATGTACATAATGCATTGGCCACTTTTGAAATACCATCGATATATGAATATGTGCATATGTTTAATAACGATTTCTTAGAAAGAATAGTTATGGAAAAACCTTCATATATTTCCAAATTAACTATTTATGGCATTATCCATATTATTTTCTTACAATTACGTTTCAATTTCTTTGTGGAAGTCACTGTCGGATTTCCCATATCGGCAGTGGTGTCGACTGCGTTCCGATTACGAATACAGCTTTTTCAGCCGAGTACCTTTCAAATGTTTGGAATTAACTAAATTAATTGAATAAATACATATTTACATACTTCTTTCATTAGTAAATCGCAACGAGATTGTTCATTTTTAAATTGAACGAACTTGTTGATTAAAATTAATGTTGACAAAAATGCAACTGGGTGCCACAATCCTGCTTGCAAATTCTTGCTGGCAAAAATTTTCCCAGCACGAATTTGCAACTTCTCCTCCAAATTAAATGTCAAAATTGTGCTCTCTCCTTGCAAGTTTTATTGGGTTTTTGGCCAAACGAACACGATTTGGTAACAATCGGTACAAACTTGTACAAGTTTTTTTTTTTTTGGCATAGCGAACACTATTATTATTATTAACCGACATCCAAAAAAGGAGGTTATCAGTTCGTCGGAATATTTTTTTTATTTATGTTACCGCATAACTTTGGACCACGTCAACTGATTTTGATAATCGGATAATTTTGCACCGCAAAGGTAGTGTCTCAGAGGTGGTCCCATACCAATCTTGTTTAGATCCGATTATTGGATCATGAGATATATATATATATATATTTTTTTAAGCCGGTTTTTTTGCTAAAAATTACTTGTTTACTTTTTAAAGGCGTATTTGGTTATGAAAACACCTTGTACATATAAGTAGCAAATAATGCGCATTATCTGCAATCACTATTTTATCATCGCTCCTTCTAAATATGTATTTACATAAGTTTATGAATAAATATGTATAGATAAGTAGATAAGATATATCAGGTATTTATATTTCATCTGCAAACTGTTCGGAAGGCTATTTATTTTTTTAGAAAAGTAGATAACAATTACATAAACAAGTCACAAGCCAATGGTGTTCTGGAACAACATTTGGAAATTATGTTGATGTACTGTAACGGTTAGGTGTAGCATAATTTTCAAAAATTTCATAACCCTCATAAATGGATTTCTTAAGGAAAGTAAAATAGAGTGAAATCAAAAAAACTGCATATTGCTCATTGGATCAACTATGGAGGAATATGAAAAACTATTGCTGTTTATAACATTTTGTGATATTATTATTAGGTTGTGTTTACATGACTCAGGAACGACACAGATTTATATCTAAGATATACCAAATTTTTAGCACTCCTTAAAGCCTTTAAATCGAACAAAGATGAGAAGGCTTTGGGGGCTTTTGAGAGAATTATTCTACGCAAGATCTCAGGCCCAGTTTTCGTGGACGACGGGTATCGGAGACGATGGAATCACAAACTGTATGAGCGTTTAAACGACGTGGACATAATTAAGCGCATAAAAATACTGCGATTGCGCTGGCTTGGACATAATGTACGCATGGATAACGACGCTCCGGTGAATATTCTTCGACTCCGCACCCATGGGTGGACAACAAAAGCAAGGACGAATACGAACGCAATGGAAGGACCAAATGCAGAAGAACCTGTCAGCACTCAGGATAACCAGCTGGCGCAAATTCTCACAGGAGTGAAGCAATTGAATTAGCTTTTTGGTCTCTACCCAAACCGACAAAAGGTTGCAGTGACAAATAAGAAGAAGAAAGCCTTTATGATTTGTGTTATGCTGTAAGAATAGCAATTATGTAGATCGCTTGTGCTGTCACCGACAACCGTTGCAGTAACGAATTGCAAATATATCAAATTTCTATTGCGATATTCAGCAGTTACACTACATAGCAAAACCAAGGAACAAATAGTTGGAATATTAGCAAGCACTGACTGCAAAGCCAAAGATTATTGCGCTAGCACTTGTAAAATATTATTAAGCGGAATGATATTTGTGTAATTTGCAAACAGATGTTTTGCTAATGTAGATGTGTTGAGTTGATTTCTGACTTTACATAGCTGAGATGAAGCCTGAGTTGGCAGTGGAGGCAAAAATGTATCAAAACTTTCTAATTACTTTGTGTGAGTTTCTTTTGCTTACTAGCTGCAATGGGTTTTGCAATCACGTTTTTGCCCTAAATCGTGCTATTCCTACATCTCTACTAATTTGGGCAGATTTGTAGTTTTCTGGTTACACTTTTGAGTTTATGTTTTGTGCGATTGTTGTTGTTGTCTCTTTTATTTATTGTTTCGTTTTTTGTTTGTCCATCTGTATTTTCGTCGAAATCATTGTTGTTGCAATCTATAGTGTACCCACTACTTATTTAAAAGCTCTCTCGCTTTTACTCGGATTAGTTTTTATTTAAGTTTGTGTTCATTCCAAGCCATTTATATTTATTTTGCTTTTTTACATTCGATTTTATGCAATAATTACAAAGAAGGCAAATCGACTGTTTTTATTTTGTCCACGATGGCGGAATGTATACAAGCGCCGTATTTGGGTCTTAATCGTAAGTCAACGGTTGCGATTTGAGTACCTACCCAGTACGGAAAGAAACCAGTTTCAATATTGATGTTCAACTAGTTTTTTACCCACCACATCTAGTTGAAGATCTGACTTTCTTCCTTGGAACGAAATCTTGACTTTAACATGGCGATGTCCTAGGCATCACTCAATTATCGGACTCTGCATTTGATTTCAACTACTTTAAAACGGGTTGGATTAAAGAATTTTAAAGTCAAACACTTGATTACCTTTCGTTCTGCACTTCATGATTAGATGATTTTACAACTAATATTGAACTATTTCTAAAGATATGTATCAAAAGTGTAAGCATTTGGTTTATCTCAATGAGGCTGCTAGGTGATTATACATCAATTTGAAGTTAGTTGCTGCTTAAGTAGAAACAAACTAATTTTTCTGAGGTAATTGACTGAGCTACGCCGTACTGGGTACATAGCCAGGTTTATAGTTTTTAAAAGTAAATAGTTTTAAGAAAACATCTACAGATTTTAAATCATACATATGTATTTATGTAGAGGTAGGCCCTGATATTTTAGATTATTTAAAGAACAAGTAATTTGTAAGCAAAAAAAAACCAACTTCAATTCTCATATAAGAATTTAAGATTATTGTTAATCTTTTCATGATCCAACGATGGGATTTAAACCAAATTAGAATGGGACCACCTGTGAGGTAACACCTTTCCTTAGACGTTCCCACGACAGTCGGGTCTACGTAACCGGAACGACCCAGATTTATATCTGGCCAAGGACTGTCACTCCAGCAACACTCCCCAAAAAGTCTTTGGGGAATTTGTATGCTGCTACAACAACAACAACAACCTTTCCTTAGAAAACAAAACGAATTATAGAAATGGTTTATCGTGGTCCAAAGTTATGTGGTAGCATACATAACAAAATATATATATGGGTCATTCCATACAAAATTTACACCTCAATATTTGTTTGGGGTGAAATATATATTTTTACATTCTTTATCGAAAAGAAGACAACTATTTTTTGATTTCGTCATGATATTCGAAATCTCGAAAAAAACTCACGGAGAAGTATCTTTTTTCAATTGTTTGCTGTTAATAAACGATCTGTCGGAGAAAATCATATAAGGTATCAAAATGTGCGTAATTACCTCGGCTTTCCCTGAGAGTGTGAGATAGATTAAAATATAAATATGTTTGCATTAAAAAATCGATTTTTTTTATTTTTTTTATTAACTTCATCATGTTTGATTTTTATTTTATTCAACCTGAATAGTTTTCAAACTTTATGGAGTAAGCTCTAAAAATTTGAGAATGGAAACACCAAAACTGTAGAGGTTACGAGTTTTTTCATACCTGCGCACTTAAAGTTTATACTAAAGTTTATGTACGCAGGTATAAAAAAAATCGTAACTTCTACAGTTTTCGCGTTTCCATTCTCAAATTTTTACCGCGTACTCTATAAAGTTTGACCACTATTCAGGTTGAAAAAAATAAAAATCAAACATGATGAAGTTAATAAAAAAATGCGATTTTTTAGCGCAAACATATTTCTATTGTAATCTATCTCTCAGGGAAAGCCGACGTAATTACGCACATTTTGATACCTTAACTGATTTTCTCCGACAAATAGTTTATTAACTGCAAACAATTGAAAAAAGATACTTCTCCGTGAGTTCAAAATTTTGGAATTTTTGTCGAGTTTTTCGAATATCATGACGAAATAAAATAATAGGTGTCTTCTTTTTTTCGATAAAGAATGTGAAAAAAATATAGGTATTTCACAACCAAAAAAATATTAAGGTGTAAATTTTGTATGGAATGACCCATATATATATTCCGACGAATTGATAACCTTCTCCCTTTTTGTGAAGTCGGTTAAAAAATAAATTAAAGCTAGTTAAAAGACGGTAAATACAAATGTGCTGTAGTAATTTTTACGATTTTTTTTCTTTTAGTAAGCATATTACATAAATCTATTGTTCGCCGATTTGTAGAAGTACTCACCTGGCACTTCTTTCCTAGCAGCCGGAATACATTCTCATTTTCCTCCGAGGTCAATAGTGCGCTGGATGCATTCAACTTAGCCCGTGGACCTGAACCCGCCTGTCCATCGTGAGATCTCATGGTTGCACTCATTTACATATATGTATGTTTATTAATGTTGATTTTAAATTTTACCAAGCACCGACTACAACGCGTAATAACACTTAAATAAAATTTTTACTTTTTAGTGTATAATCCCATCACATGCAAATATATATACATATACATATATATAGATTGAATTTAATTTAAGAAGTTCCTAAGTGTTTAAAAACAATCCATGAAAAGACCGATCCGGGGGAATAATGTGCGTCACTGGGATGATGACATGTATGAAACTGTTGTCCAGTAATCAAATTTATTTCATTACTAATATGTATTAAAAACCAGTAAGGCCACTGAGTGACAATAGTAGCGCCACCAGTTGTGAAGCTCTTGTAACGACAGCTTTGCGTGTGAAGCGTAGTACAACGAAATATAATAAGCTGAGCTGGTATCGTTGGAAGTAGTGGTAGCAGCTGTTGAGTCACTTGCGCAGTTTTTGCTGCTTCAATTGTCTTTGTTGTTGTTATGCGTATGAGTCTCCTGCATAGATTGGTATTTGGCGCATGAAAAAATTAAGCTACCAAATGCAATTGTTAGACCACAAATCAAATTTGTGGTGCAATACTTGTCTTTGGTAGAACTATCTTCATAACACAGGCATACATACGTCGGGACAAACACAAACAAATTATTTTATCAAAACTTCTGATGTGGGCGTGGACACGTTGTATTTATATCTTTCGGATGCTATTCTGCCTCGAAACTGATTGAATATAACTCGTTAATTGTTCGAATGTTTACGTTAAACCTCGGCAATTGATTTTTCGCATTTCAGTTGAATTTTCGATATTTGTAAGCATTCGTTTTCACTCTTTTCTATTTCAATTTCGCGTAGGTCGTTTTTGTTCTTCACTTATTTGTGTTTTTAACGTTGATAATTTTGCATATTGCTTAAACTTCTTTGCAGGTTTCAGGTTCCCTTTGTAATCGGTTTCTAACAAGCGGATTGCAAATACAAGTTAAAATCAAAATGCAAATGAACCGAAAAATTTTTGCAAGACGAAATTTTTTTTAGAAATTTTTCACTAGCAACATCAAACGTCAAACAGCAATTGACAGACTGAGCAGCACAGCAGAAAAGTCAAGTTGAATTGCCAACAAATGGAACGAGTTGAATGAAACATTGGCACAGGGAGCATCTAATTGAAAAAAGCTTACTATTGTCGGAGTTTTATTAAACCGTCTTCATAGTTTTAAAGTTTCTTTAAAGCGTGTATTTGAACAATTTAGAGATAATGCTAAGCAATGCAGACAGTTGTATGGTTCTATAATCAAATTGAAACAAAATCATTCATTATACCAATTATGAAAAAAAAACTATATGCGCCAGTGATGGAAAAGTAGGTACAATAGTGCCATTTTTGGCACTTTCATTCGCAGAGGCACTTTCGGCACAATTCACCCTGTTTTGGCACAATCATAAATTATAGAACCTTAGCGTAATATTCCAATATATAACAAAAAATAATATATTACATTATAGATTAAAACTATTACTACATTATAGATTAAAAAATTATAAAAAGTAAAAATTAAAAGTACTAACAAATTAAAATAAGGGCCGTGAGTAGTATTGTGTCGCAGCTCTTGACGAAACGATGAAAAAGTAAGTTTCTGCAATAACATATGTACATATATCTTGTTTGTTAAATTATGAGTTAGACTTTTATATAAAATCTATAGAAAATTAACCAATTGGTGAAACTGGTAAAAATGTCTCACTGACATTATTTCGCATATAGGTAGATAGATGTATGTGTAACCGCGTCAGAATAGCTATATTTCGATGTATTTCCCCTTCCTAATTAGAATACTGTATTATTTTGCTATGATTCGATTAAAATAGCACATCTAACCTAGTCCGGCGTAAGTGTTATAAACATTTTAAAGAAAGTGTACCTACTGTGAAGGCAGAAGTTAGTGTTGATTTGAAACATGTGGGCGCAAAAATATTAACACAATGGGTGATAGGAAATTGCCGTTCGTTTAAAATAATCGGAGATACCGGTCAACAGAAAATTTTCGAAATTCTAATATCCATCGGCGCAAAATATGGACCGCATGTCAATGTTCAGACATTAATTCCACACTCAACAGCAATTTCGAGGAATATATATAAGTGGCTTATATGCTAGCACTTTATCAACGGTCAAAATGATTTACCATGCAAAAATAGCATTGGGTTTGTTTTACCATTCGTCTTAATATTTATTGAGTCTAACTTATGTAATAACGGCCGCCGCAAGAGATTTCGTCAATCGGGGATAGATGCAATATCGCATGTAGGGTGTATGTGGCCGTCAGACAAAGGTGCGCTTACATAGGCTGCGTTTCTTTATACATTCCGGATAATCCCATTTCACAGCCGGAATAAACAGAATGCGTTTGAAATATACGTCAACATATCATCAGGAACGTTCTAAAGAATAAATAAACAAAAAAGTTTATTCCAAACATTCAGAATGAATAAAGAAATGCAGCCATAATGTTGCGGTCTTTATATGCATACTACATGATTCAATAATACAAGGTTAGATAATTATTGACAGCCGCGGTTTGACACTCCCTTATAAAAGGTTGCATATACGAAGGACGGAGGAAGGGGAAGAATGCAATCCCTTGTTGCGAAAATGGTAGTAGAAAAGTACGCAAAGAAGACAATTAGTAGTGAAATTCCTTTTGTAAATTCTAATGTACTTGCAGGAAATCTGGCTTTTTAAACGAAATATTCATATGTCTACGTGAAATACGTAATTTATGTGCTATTTAGCTGTATCAAAACTGCAAAGGACTCAAAATTAAAACAAAACTACTATGGGATTTCTGTAAACGTCCAGTTTAAAAACAATTTATGTTTTCATCAGTTAAATGTGCTTCATATGCATATACAAATAAATATATTGTACAAAAGCTTATACATCTATTTCGCAGCAAAGCTACACTTATTCCAAATAAATTTGCAAAGAAGCAACACGGTGCCACAGCTAAGGGAGCGGTGCGAGAGAGACAACTGCATACTAGGCATGGGTAACACTGCGCTGCGCGGCGCATTTGCGTTAACACCGTAGTCGGATTTGTCGCGCCAACACCAAGATATGAATAGCGCTAGCGCCATTAACGCCAAGAAACACATGAGACAAACATACAATTCGCCTTAATTCTTATCAAATTTCTCCTTTCTTCAAATTTATAGCTTTACTCAAGAAAGATGAGAATATCGTGGCATTTACTAGCAGCTAAATTCGGTTGGCGGTACAAGCGGTGCTCAGCGAAAATTAAAGAAATGAACTCTTTGAAATCGCTCCGTTATCTATTTCTGATGCAATAGTGTTTCTGTGACGCTGTAAAAATTACAACAATAACATTTTAGCCGGAACGTAAGACGTATTCTACGTCAAAATAAAATTGAGTAATATGAATGCAAGAGTACTCAATGCCGACATTCAAAAACTCATCACCTTTCACCTACATATCTATTGTTAATTGGAATTCTATGTAACACTTCACCATATTGCAACGGATGAGTGATATCATTAATTGGCTGGACATGTATGTACATACATTCATAGGTACATACATAGATACATACCTACATATATATTACATATATGCTAAAGTAAAATAAAAAAGTGGTTGCGTATTTTTATATGTATGTATGCATATAAAAATTTTCTAGCGGCTTAGAAGATTTTGACACGCTTTTCTTCCATTCAACCTAAACATTTATAATTAACCCATTCCATAAATGGCAAATGCATCTTATGCACTTCCTCTACGATACTAAATTATTTGTGTATTATGTATCTATGTATATACATATGTATGTACGCTCGTTTGCATGTGTATGCAAGTGTGTACGATTAAAATAATTTGCGTTGACACTAATTGGCATATAACGTACCTAATTACGTGCTAGCTAGAAAGCATCATAAAAAAACTTGGCGAAAATATAGTAATTTAGCTTTCTATGGGTATATGTATGTACATAATCGGTTATTAAAGGCGCACAAATGTTTATCGGACGATCAAATTTCTATTGACTAGTTTTTTTATTGTTGTTATTTTTGGCGAGGATATTTGCTGTAGAGTAGAAATTTAAAGAGTAGCAACATAAATTGATTTTTTTTTTGTAAACGAGCGACTAAAGAACGCTCAACTCTGATAAAATTTCCTTTCAGCTACAAGTTTTTACATGGAAAAAAGTGCACAACACCGACAGCCGCTTCAAATTTGCGCTTTTTATACTAAAATTTATGAAGCTATAAAAAAAGTTTATGAAAACCCTGATTGAAAAAATTAAAATTTTGATAACAACTAATCTACCTCCTATGGACGAAATCAAAGTGTGAACTGAACAAGTGTTAATGGTTTTCGTACTAATTTATTAATACTTTGATAATTTGCTAATAAACAACCTAAGTTTCACTTTCAAAAACTATAAAATCATTATATGTTGAGGTTTCTTTACGGTTGTTGTTAGGTGCCTTATACTTATGGCCTAGACTGTAGATTGAATTTCGGTGCGCAATTTTCCTTTTGCTTGGATATATTTTCCATCGTCATAAACATTTAAAAAATCTACTTTAGCGGCCAAAAATTCATCCACATTTTCATTCTACAAATTTTATTTTGAGCAAGTATTCACAAAGGTGTACTCTTAATCGGTTTACTCGCATTTAAATCCAATCGTTTTGTTACGCTTTCGATTTGTGTTTTTTTTGCGAATTTTTTAGGTTATTGGACGCAGAGCCATTGTAAGCCAAAAATTAGTATAAATATCAGCCGTATGCCAGCTTAATGGCGAGTAGAGTGATTAGTGTAAGAAAAATCTAAGAGTAATTACCGGATGTTTAAATTGATGAAATTCCCAATTCTCTTCGAAGAACAGCCATGGTTTATTTATATTAATTAGATAGACATATTTAAATATATATGGGTCCTGCAGATCGCACACATGCAAAGGTCACAAGCAGCTCATTGATTGAGTTACACTCGTTGAACTTCAAAAAGCGCTAATTGTATCAAACCGGTACCGAGAAGTTACCACACGTTTCATTATATGTACCAATAAATTTACACACTTACATACATACATACAATGTATGCATGTATGCACGTGGGTCATTTCCAAAGAAAGTGCTATATTTATTATTTGGTATCGTTGTAAAGGCGATTAAACCCCCTTTTTTCTGGTATGCATATTTCTATACTTCGAATATAAAAATTTGAGAAAAACACTTAAAATCAAAAAAACCTTTCTTCAATAAAAAAAATATTATAAACAAAAAAATTACAAACCAATTTTTAAAAAATTGGTATCGGTGTAAAGCATACCAGAAAACTTATACTTTCCTAAACCCAAAAATTTCTATTTATATACAAAAAAAAAAAAAAATTATTAAAAACATTTTTTTCTTTATATAAACTCCTGCCCCCTAAGTGAAAGCCTGCCCTTATATTCAAAACAATTAAAGTACTTAAATCGTACACCATACGTTCAGTGTGTTCCTTTAGAGCGCACACATGGCTCCATAATAATGATTCCAGTATATAAGTATATTGTAACTATCAATATCTTATTAAAAAAAGTGTAACTTTTTTTTTTATCGAAAACTAATAAAGTTCGAAGGACGAAATTCGAGGATGTGGTAGTTAGCATATTAGTCCTCGACATATATATTTTTTCAAAAATAAATATTGGAAATTTTCAAGGATATTCAAGGATAAAGTTTTAAAAGGACATTTTCAATACTTATTCTTCCTGGTGCACCTAAATATTATTATTTTTTTTTGTATTCTGCAGAATTTTTTTAATTGTTATTCTACAATGCACCAAATCTTTTGAATAATATTTTTATTCAATCATATTCTAGAAATTTCAAAGTCCTTTAAAAAAAATCCTGACGTCAGAGAGACAAACTAAAAACGCAGTTTTACTATATTTGGCTCCCACTTTTGTGAATATATTATTTTTTTCGTGTGTAAAATTGACTGTCGCACGGTGTTATAATATTGTCCCTCCGAATTTTCCAGGATATCACT